GGGAAGGACACCAAGACACTGGCGCACAATCTGCCAGTAGCAGATACATGCTGCTACCTGGGGCTTGCAACTTTTGCATTGGTTTCCAGAGTGGAAATCCCTCCCATTCCTGTAGTAATAAACACAAACATAGAGCCAGAAACTTACCAGGCTTCTGTGTCTGCAGCTGGTTCCTTGGCTGGCTGTTCCTTGGCGGGGGAGGGTGTCCCTTAAACAGCTCCTCTGAGTATGGCCCCAGATTGTGCTGCTGGGCAAAGCCTCCTCTGGGACCCGTTTCAGGAACAATCACTTTGCTGAGCTCTCTCTGCACCTGCTGCTAGCTCCCATCAGTCTCATGCTGGATTCTGGGGCTATCAGGGCATCATCTGGGCTGGCCAGGTCATCATGCACCACCACTGGCTCCAGGCTGGACACAGTGCCAAGCACCCTGTTTTCTGCGATGATGTTAGTGAGTTACTCGAGGTGCGGTTCTGGTCCGTGGTTTGCCAATATTTGCTCTTAATCCGCTCCCTGCACTGGTCACCCGGTCCAGTAAATTTCCAGCACTGCCAGCTTCTCTGCTATTTGCTGATATGCATGGTCATTCCTAGTGCTCTTACTAAAGTCCATTGTGCTGCTGGTCTCGCACCAGAGATCTAACAAAATCTCTCTGTGCTCCCGTGACCACAAAGCCGGGCCCTCTGCAAAGGGCTTCTGCTTGGTCTTCACGGCGAGCACAGAAGGTTCTTGGAGGCATGTTCACAGCTCAGAGGTCAGAAACCAATGGAAGGGTTAAGTGCTGACCAGTCGAGCTACAACAAGAGGGGTTTCAGAGTAACAGCCGTGTTAGTCTGTATTCGCAAAAAGAAAAGGAGTACTTGTCTTCTGCAGTTTCCACAGTATGCATCCGATGAAGTGAGCTGTAGCTCACGAAAGCTTATGCTCAAATAAATTGGTTAGTCTCTAAGGTGCCACAAGTACTTCTTTTCTTTTAACAAGAGGGATTGCATCTGTTTCCCTGGAGTTGACTGGTGCCTCTGGCGACAGAGAGGACAAAGGAAGCCGACCCATGGGAGCGTGGGATGCTTTTGGTGGACATGGGAGGCTGCGTCTACGCTGTAAAGCAATAGGGCTTGAGCCCTGGGGCCCAACTTGACTTGAGTTCAAAGCCTCCTTCCCTGCAGGGTCCTAGGCCCCTAGGTCGGAGCCTGAGTGACTTGAGCGTAGATAGAAGGGGGCTGAGCCCGGGCTTACATTGCAGTGTAGACGTACGCGGGTGACTAGCACCTCCTGCTGCTTTTGCGGGCATGGCTACACTCTTTTTAGCATGCTCGCTCACTCAGAGCTAGTGCAGCATGTCAGCCCAACCTGGACACTATGCCTGTGTACAGGTGCAGTGGTACAAAGTGGGTAAGCTTCATAGTCTCCTAGGGAGAAGTGGTTAAATTCCATTTACCATGTTCACCCTTGTCTAGACTACTGACCTATATAGATACAGTTCCAGGGCAGACATGCCCTTCGTTGGCCAAAAACTAGAAGAACAGATTGAATGTACGCAGCAAGCCTGCCTGGCCTGGGAGGTGCATGAGTGGGTGAGATGGGAAGTCGCTCTAGTGAGACTTCCACTGGGAACTTGCTTTTGATTAGTTTGCAGCTGCCCAGCTGCTGAGCAAAGTGCTGATCCTTAACCTGGGATCTCTCGCCATTGTACTGAATGAACAGCTCATTGTGAGGATCAAAAAATTTGCTCTAGTCCCTTCCCACTGTGGTAGAACCAGGAAACAAGTGCTTTACCCTGGGACAGGCGCTTGCACAGCCCTGGCCTCATCTCCCCGCTTATTCCCAGCTGAGTGACAGCTGTCATGTCCCCCAGATTTCTTTCAAGCAAAGTTTTGGGCTTTGCCAAGAGGTGCTGGTATAGCAATTCTGCTGCTCTGGAGTTACAGTATCCTATACCCCCACCCCTTGTTCCCCAAATGAAACATGACACCCCACATGATCTTCCAGGACGTTGGCTGCACCCTGCCCATCTAGGCCGGCTGGTTACAGTACAAACAGCCTGTGTTTACTCATGTGTTGGGGGTGTGTTGCAGTATTTGCACTGTATACAAAGAGGTGGCTTGTTATCTTGGAGAAAACTGTAACAAAATGCCCAGGGAAGCTTTTTATGTCTGAGTGAGTGAGTGTGTTGTAACAACATGGCCATCTCCTCCAAAGCTGGCCTCATCTCCTGAGCACCAGCGTTGTGCTGTGCACAGCTACCATGCTAGTGACTGTTCCTCAACAGTCTAGGGTTACCATACGTCTGTATTTTCCCAGACATGTCCGGCTTTTTGGTTCTTAAATTGCCGCCTGGGAGGAATTTCTAAATATCTAAAAACGTCCGGGATTTTGCCATTATTATTTTTCCCCAAAGAAGAGTTGATCATTCAAGAAAGAAAGTGAATGTTGATCACTCGAGAGAATGCCCACTTTCCCCCCCTAGCTCCCACTGCTTGCGCCGCAAAACAGCTGTTTCACATGGCTGGGAGGGAGAGGGGAGGAGGGGGAAACGCATCGCACTCAGGGGAGGAGGCGGGGCTGGGCCGGGGATTTGGGGAAGGGGTCCAATGGGGCAGGGATGGGGCGGAGTTGGGGCGGGGACTTTGGGGAAGGGGTTGGAATGGGGGCAGGGAAGGGGTGGAGTTGGGGTGGGGCCGGGGGTGGGGGGCACGAGCAAATCCTCCCCCCTCTTCGTGGAGTGTCCTCTTTTCTGAATGTTCAAATATGGTAACCCTACTCAACACCCTGCTGCTCTCCAGGGCCTCTCCACATCCCCCTGAAGGGGGACACATGAGCCTGCGTGTAACATACATGCCAGCTCCAGCGAGTACAACTGTGTGGGCTGCTGCTTTCCCTCACCCAGGAGCCCGGCCGGTGGGGGAGCCTGCAGCTCTTTGCATTCCTGCCACGGGAGAGCCACTGGCAAGATGGTGAATTACGATGCAGCTTGGCAGGGTGCCTCCAGCCTGGCTGATAACTCGGTCAAGTGGAGCTCCAGCTGCCAGGGACTGCCAGGGTGGTAGGGACCCAGCAGGCAGAGAAAGCCCTGAGTACTTTCCCCATCTCCTCTCTCTCTTTCCCTTTCTCACTCAACCAGTTTCCCTCTGTCAGGGGAGAAATGAGGTTTTACAAGGAAAGCCTGGTGGTCCCTTCTGGCCTATGACTCCATGACATCAAAGAGCACAGGCAGGGCAATCCTGAGAGCAAGGAGAGAGTGATCTCACTAGCTGGAGGTCATAGGCCCAGTAAGATGCATGGTGTTCTGCATTTCTCATGGACAGCCCATAGCCATGGGACAGACCTGACCCATACCTAAGCTCTGGGGTCTCTGTGCAGATATTCATGTGAGTTTAGTGCTGCTGCGGTGTCTTGGATCAACAGCCCTGAAGAACGGACAGGGCTGGGCCAACATTGGCAGTGACAGCTGCAGCTTCCTCCACATGGCCCTGGCCGTAGAGCTGCTCCCTGATCTGTCTGGACCAACACTAGGCATGAGAAGGTGTTTCATTGTCTGTGACCCGCTCAGGCTCTGGCATCTCAGCTCAACAAGGAGGCCAGTTGGTGCTGGTTGTGATGGCGGTGGTTGTAATATGGGCATCTAGATACAGGCTCTGTGGATTTACCACAGTGTTCCAGGCCAGTGGGGAAGGGATCGCCGATTGGTGGCTGTGAAGGGTGAGAATAAGGAAGATGGGGCGTTGGCAGGGAGAGGTGGGAAAGGGTTGCCCTCTGGAATTGATCAAATAGATGTTAGCTCAAAACACACTTAAGGGGGCATGTTTCCTGGGAGAAGAAGCTGCCTCATTTCGCCAGCTCCCCTTGGGGATTTCAGCCTCATGGGCCGCAGACCGAGAGGGGAGCAGCCACGTCTCTCAGGCTTGTTTCCACAAACAAGGATATGGCAGCTACCCAGTGTTTACACACAACCAAAAGAGCGGGGACAATGAGTTGGTGATGACTAAAGCTCTCGAGCTGGCAGGAGTCTTGCTGCAACAGGGAGCCCAAAGCAAGCGTTTACCTGCTTCTCAGTGACCAGGACTGGGGGAAATGTAACTTACTCCCCCAGGACAAAGTACAAGGATCATTCCCTCACCATGCTGGGAGCACATATGCAATTTGTACATGCCTTGCATTAAGCCAGGGGTCACTGATCTGTGCAGTATCCCGCCGTGATCCTTGTACGTTTGCCAGTAGGGATCCTAAAGGTCTTGGCCCAGCTTTTCCTTAGTGGGGGCTTAAAGTTGACCACCTAAATCGCCATGGAGGTACTGAAATATGGGGTCTGGCTCTCAGAGATGCTGAGCACTTTGCATCTCCCATTGCCAGCTTGGGAGCAGTGAGCACTCAGCAGACTTTACAGAGGTGCTGTATGTCTTTGCCTGACGTTAGCCTACATCTTGCCCAAAGTGTTTAGCTCTATGGGCCAAACCTTTGGTGCCTCGTTGCATAGTGAGTTTCTGGGCCTGTTTGCAGGTGTATTGACCACACGTGGGGGCACAAATGTGGTGGGGGTGAGAAGGGGGGGTCCATGTACACATAGGCACCTACACTGCCAGTTATCTTCCCAGATCCCTTCATTGCTGAACATCCCAGAGGTAAAGCCAGGCTTATGTGGCATGCTACATGTCTAAGGTCTACACTAGGACTTGAGGTCGAATTTAGCAGCGTTAAATCGATGTAAACCTGCACCCGTCCACACGATGAAGCCCTTTTTTTCGACTTAAAGGGCTTTTAAAATCGATTTCCTTACTCCACCCCTGACAAGTGGATTAGCGCTTAAATCGGCCTTGCCGGCTTGAATTTGGGGTACTGTGGACACAATTTGATGGTATTGGCCTCCGGGAGCTATCCCAGAGTGCTCCATTGTGACCGCTCTGGACAGCACTCTCAACTCAGATGCACTGGCCAGGTAGACAGGAAAAGAACCGCGAACTTTTGAATCTCATTTCCTGTTTGGCTAGCATGGCAAGCTGCAGGTGACCATGCAGAGCTCATCAGCAGAGGTGACCATGATGGAGTCCCAGAATCGCAAAAGAGCTCCAGCATGGACGAACGGGAGGTACGGGATCTGATCGCTGTTTGGGGAGAGGAATCCGTGCTATCAGAACTCCGTTCCAGTTTTTGAAATGCCAAAACCTTTGTCAAAATCTCCCAGGGCATGAAGGACAGAGGCCATAACAGGAACCTGAAGCAGTGCCACGTGAAACTGAAGGAGCTGAGGCAAGCCTACCAGAAAACCAGAGAGGCGAACGGCTGCTCCGGGTCAGAGCCCCAAACATGCCGCTTCTATGATGAGCTGCATGCCATTTTAGGGGGTTCAGCCACCACTACCCCAGCCGTGTTATTTGACTCCTTCAATGGAGATGGAGGCAACACGGAAGCAGGTTTTGGGGACGAAGAAGATGATGATGATGATGAGGTTGTAGATAGCTCACAGCAAGCAAGCAGAGAAACCGGTTTTCCCGACAGCCAGGAACTGTTTCTCACTCTGGACCTGGAGCCAGTACCCCCTGAACCCACCCAAGGCTGCTTCCTGGACCCGGCAGGTGGAGAAGGGACCTCTGGTGAGTGTACCTTTTAAAATACTATACATGGTTTAAAAGCAAGCATGTGAAAGGATTACTTTGCCCTGGCATTCGCGGCTCTCCTGGATGTACTCCCAAAGCCTTTGCAAAAGGTTTCTGGGGAGGGCAGCCTTATTGCGTCCTTCATGGTAGGACACTTTACCACTCCAGGCCAGTAACACGTACTCGGGAATCATTGTATAACAAAGCATTGCAGTGTATGTTTGCTGGCGTTCAAACAACATCCGTTCTTTATCTCTCTGTGTTATCCTCAGGAGAGTGAGATATAATTCATGGTCACCTGGTTGAAATAGAGTGCTTTTCTTCAGGGGACACTCAGAGGAGCCTGCTGGGCTGTTTGCCTGTGGCTAAACAGAAATGTTCCCCGCTGTTAGCCACGGGGAGGAGGGAAGGTTGAGGGGGTAGCCACGCGGTGGGGGGAGGCAAAATGCGACCTTGTAACGAAAGCACATGTGCTATGTATGTAATGTTAACAGCAAGGTTTACCCTGAAAGAGTGTAGCCACTGTTTTATAAAATGTGTCTTTTTAAATACTGCTGTTCCTTTTTTTTTCTACACCAGCTGCATGTGTTTCAATGATCACAGGATCTTCTCCTTCCCAGAGGCTAGTGAAGATTAGAAAGAAAAAAAAACGCACTCGAGATTAAATGTTCTCCGAGCTCATGCTGTCCTCCCGCACTGACAGAGCACAGACGAATGCATGGAGGCAAATAATGTCAGAGTGCAGGAAAGCACAAAATGACAGGGAGGAGAGGTGGCGGGCTGAAGAGAGTAAGTGGCGGGCTGAAGACAGGGCTAAAGCTCAAATGTGGCGGCAGCGTGATGAGAGGAGGCAGGATTCAATGCTGAGGCTGCTGGAGGACCAAACCAGTATGCTCCAGTGTATGGTTGAGCTGCAGCAAAGGCAGCTGGAGCACAGACTGTCACTACAGTCCCTGTGTAACCAACCGCCCTCCTCCCCAAGTTCCATAGCCTCCACACCCAGACGCCCAAGAACGCGCTGCGGGGGCCACTGGCCAACCAGCCACTCCGCCACAGAGGATTGCCCAAAAAAAAGAAGGCTGGCATTCAATAAATTTTAAAGTTGTAAACTTTTAAAGTGCTGTGTGGCATTTTCCTTCCCTCCTCCACCACCCCTCCTGGGCTACCTTGGTAGTCATCCCCCTATTTGTGTGATGAATGAATAAAGAATGCATGAATGTGAAGCAACAATGACTTTATTGCCTCTGCAAGCGGTGATCGAAGGGAGGAGGGGAGAGTGGTTAGCTTACAGGGAAGTAGAGTGAACCAAGGGGCGGGGGGTTTCATCAAGGAGAAACAGAACTTTCACACCGTAGCCTGGCCAGTCATGAAACTGGTTTTCAAAGCGTCTCTGATGCGTACCGCGCCCTCCTGTGCTCTTCTAACCGCCCTGGTGTCTGGCTGTGTGTAACCAGCAGCCAGGAGATTTGCCTCAACCTCCCACCCCACCATAAACGTCTCCCCCTTACTCTCACAGATATTGTGGAGCACACAGCAAGCAGTAATAACAGTGGGAATATTGGTTTCGCTGAGGTCTAAGCGAGTCAGTAAACTGCGCCAGCGCACCTTTAAATGTCCAAATGCACATTTTACCACCATTCTGCACTTGCTCAGCCTGTAGTTGAACAGCTCCTGACTACTGTCCAGGCTGCCTGTGTACGGCTTCATGAGCCATGGCATTAAGGGGTAGGCTGGGTCCCCAAGGATACATATAGGCATTTCAACATCCCCAACAGTTATTTTCTGGTCTGGGAATAAAGTCCCTTCCTGCAGCTTTTGAAACAGACCAGAGTTCCTGAAGATGCGAGCGTCATGTACCTTTCCCGGCCATCCCACGTTGATGTTGGTGAAACGTCCCTTGTGATCCACCAGAGCTTGCAGCACTATTGAAAAGTACCCCTTGCAGTTTATGTACTCGGTGGCTTGGTGCTCCGGTGCCAAGATAGGGATATGGGTTCCGTCTATGGCCCTACCACAGTTAGGGAATCCCATTGCAGCAAAGCCATCCACTATGACCTGCACATTTCCCAGGGTCACTACCCTTGATATCAGCAGATCTTTGATTGCTTGGGCTACTTGCATCACAGCAGCCCCAACAGTAGATTTGCCCACTCCAAATTGATTCCCAACTGACCGGTAGCTGTCTGGCGTTGCAAGCTTCCACAGGGCTATCGCCACTCACTTCTCAACTGTGAGGGCTGCTCTTGTCTTGGTATTCATGCGCTTCAGGGCAGGGGAAAGCAAGTCACAAAGTTCCATGAAAGTGCCCTTACGCATGCGAAAGTTTCGCAGCCACTGGGAATCGTCCCAGACCTGCAACACTATGCGGTCCCACCAGTCTGTGCTTGTTTCCCGAGCCCAGAATCGGCGTTCCACAGCATGAACCTGCCCCATTAGCACCATGATGCATGCATTGGCAGGGCCCATGCTTTCAGAAAAATCTGTGTCCATGTCCTGATCACTCACGTGACCATGCTGACGTCGCCTCCTCGCCCGGTATCGCTTTGCCAGGTTCTGGTGCTGCGCATACTGCTGGATAATGCGTGTGGTGTTGAATGTGCTCCTAATTGCCAAAGTGAGCTGAGCAGCCTCCATGCTTGCCTTGGTATGGCGTCCGCACAGAAAAAAGGCACAGAACAATTGTCTGCCGTTGCTCTGACGGAGGGAGGGGCGACTGACGACATGGCTTACAGGGTTGGCTTCAGGGAGCTAAAATCAACAAAGGGGGTGGCTTTACATCAAGGAGTATTTCAGGCAGGACTTCACGGAGGGTTCCAATAAGAAATGGTGCACCTAAGTTATTGTTCTTATTGGAACAAGGAGGTTAGTCTGGCCTCTGATTGATATATGGCTAGATTTACCTCGCTGCACCTTCCCTGTGAGTGACTGCAGTGTGACCTAGAGGAATGAGTCCCCTAGACGGGGGAGGAGGCAAATGAGTACAAAACAAAACTGGTCTATTTCTTGTTTTGATCCACTCCATCTATCTTTTACATCTTTGGCTGGCAGCAGACGGTGCAGAAGGACTGCATGCCATCCACATCTCATGGCTGCTCGGCAGAAGATGGTACAGTACAACTGCTAGCCATCCTCATCTCTTGCCTGCCCGGCAGAAGATGGTACAATACGACTGCTAGCCATCCTCATCTCTTGCCTGCCCGGCAGAAGATGGTACAGTACGACTGCTAGCAATCCGTATCGCCTGCCTGCTCACCATAAAACGGTTCAATAGGACTGACTGCAGGACTAAAGAGAATGACCTGGTCAAGTCACTCCAAATTTAGTCCCTGCGCCCATGTCTGCCCAGGCGCTCCCAGCCGACGTGGCCAGGAGCACCTCGGACATGACGATGACGGCTACCAGTCATATTGCACCGTCTGCTGCCAGAAGGCAATGGGTTGCTGCTACTGTGTAGCAATGCCGTACCGCGTCTGCCAGCACCCAGGAGACATACGGTGACGGTTACCTTAGCGGGCTCCATGCTTGCCGTGGTATGGCGTCTGCACAGGTAACTCAGGAAAAAAGGCGCGAATCGATTGTCTGCCCTTGCTTTCACGGAGGGAGGGAAGGAACGGGGGCCTGACGATATGTACCCAGAACCACCCGCGACAATGTTTTAGCCCCATCAGGCATTAGGATCTCAACCCAGAATTCCAATGGGCAGCGGAGACTGCGGGAACTGTGGGACAGCTATCCACAGTGCAATGCTCCGGAAGTCGACTCTAGCCTCGGTACTGTGGAAGCACTCCGCCGAGTTAATGCACTTAATGCACTTAGAGCATTTTCTGTGGGGACACACACACTCGAATATATAAAACCGATTTCTAAAAAACCGACTTCTATAAATTTGACCTTATTCCGTAGTGTAGACATACCCAGAAGCTTAGCCCTGTGGTGTAACATTAATACAGAGGTTGCACTGGCCCCTGGCATGTTGCTGCCCAAAGCTGTCATTGTTTCTATTGCGAAATTCTCCCAGCACCCCGTCCCCTCTGAAAGCCACTCTGAGTAAGCTCTGCACATCCCATCTGATAGCCCAGCTCCTGGGGTGGGCCCGAGCAGCACTTGGTGCTGTTTTACAAGGCTGGGGCTCTCTGCCCAGCTCCAGGCATAAACACAGAGCAGCCTCGGGGTTGTTCAACTTTGCACCAAGTGCTCAGGGCTGCTAAGGGCCATTCCAGCAGCCAGGAATTGCTAGAGCACTGGGCCCTGACTTCTTCCCCGTAGACATGCCCCTCAGACATGCTGTGATCCATGAGGGACGTAGTACAGGATCCAGTACAGCAGCCCTGTGCCACCCACGGAGCTTCCCAGACCAGAGGAACCCTTACAGCTGTCTCCAGAGTGGCACCAAGCAGCCAGCCCAGGGGCCAGGATCTGTCTCTGTCAGCTGTTCACTGTTCTCCAGTTCACCTGAACTCTAAGTATCACTATTATTAGCTTCACTGTAGCAACTCCCAGATCTAGGCACCTTGCAAACACAGCAGTCAGAACAGTCCTTGCCCTGACGAGTTTACAATCTGACCCCCCAACCCAGCTGAAGGGCGGTGGGGTGGAAAGCGCTGCAGCAGACAGGCAAAGGGATCAGGGTGGAGGTAGGAACTCAGCTCATTAGTTTCACAAGTGTTTTGAAGATTAAATTAGATGTGAGCATGGAGAAGCCTGTTTCTGATCTCAGCCTTGGGGTCCCTCTCTCCGAGACGGACAAGGCTGCTAGATCACAGATTCCTGAGCTCTTTGGGTAACTGGGCCAGATGCCCAGACTGAGTCCTGGCTTGTACCAGCCTCCCATTCAATTGTGCCTCTAACCCACCATGGAATGTGGACAGTGCTTAATTTGTGCCAGGACTTGGCAGAATGGCAGTTGGGTAGGAGCAGTCTTCCAGGCAGGAGTTCACAATGCTAGGCACAGATCTATGGAGTATCAGCACCGATGTGCATGCCAGGTGTAGGGACCCATCGCTATTTCACAATGCCCTGAAAGCCATTCTCCTGCTTTGTCACAATAGCAGAGGCCAACATGCCCCAAGTTGCACCGGCAGGATCTAGTGCATGCCTGCCTCCTGGTGTTTACTGTGTGCAGCCCTGCTCACGTGCTTGGCATCGCCACCTGAGCTTTGGTAACTGCTGTAGCATGTTGTAATGCTGCTCAGGGGTTTGCATCAGCATTCACTAGCAAACAGCAAGGAGGGGTTCAGCCATGCTGACAGCTCTCCATCCTGGCAAGTCTCTGGCTTCCTCCATGGTTTCGTTTTCTTTTGCTCCAGTTAGTGCTTCTGCCCTGAGCAGTCCCTGGAAATCAGGCATCTTCTCTGGGTGCTTCTGGGAAGCTGCTGGGCTTAATCAGTGTGAAATGTGATCCTGGAATGGCCACTTTGACATTGTAAGCAGTGCTTAATTTGTGCCAGGGCTTGCCAAGGCTGAGCCCCGGCACCTCTGGGCTTGTCAGGTCAGTTATGAAAATAAAAAAATTGCTTGAGCCCCGGCCACTGTTTCATTACAAATTAAGCACCAATCAGCAGTAAATCCTTGATGGACTAGGATTAAAGTCTGTGCAACGCAGGTAGCTTTGGAACTGTTGTCATTTTGTTTTCTCTGCATTGTACCTTTAAATGTCAAGAGTTCGCACACATGTAGCATGTATTTGGGGGGGTCTCTAGGTGTGGTTTACAGCTACGCCAGATAAAAAGGGGGAGGGGGAAACCGAAGCACTGCAGGGAATTCCAGTACCCCATGGGAGGTCCCGATCATCCCCCTCACACACACCATATGGTCCACTGGCCCGGATTCCCTCTGTCTGAGAAGTGAATCGCCCTGGCTGCTCTGTGGCCTCTGGCTGGAGTCTGAAGATAGGGGGTGGAGCAGGGTGGCCTCTGTGGGGAGCTGCACTTTGGCCTCTCCTGGGGGGGTTAAAAAGCCAGCTGTGGGGTCACAAAGGCAGGGTCTGTGTGTGTTGACTGGGGAGCATAGGAAGAGGGAGGAGACAGTAAAGCTGCCGCTTAGTGCCTGTGTCTCCAGCGTGTGATGCCGGCAATAGGTTTTGGATGGTGAACTCCCTGCCA